AAATATTTTATATTATAAGCTAGACAAGTTATCATGTCATTCATTTATTATTGTTTGTCATTTTTAATATAATATTACATTAATATATATACACTATATAAAAAAATGTATTGCCGTGTCCGCGCCGTACCCGTGTCCTATATTTAAAATAAAAAAACGTGTCCCGTGTCCGTGTCGTGTCGTGTCCGTGTCGCCGTGTCCGTGTCCGTGCATCATAGATAGAGATAGCCTCACATGGAATTTTACTTCTCAAGTCTTACATTTGATAAAAAATCTTAGATGGAAGACAATGATTTGTTCATTCAACAAGAAATTATTAACAAACTATAAATTATTTATATATCTTAAAAATATTCTTATTTTAATAAAATAAGAACACATGGTTGAGGATGTCATTCTAAATAATAAAGGGCTTCAATAATATTTGAATGATATAAATAAGAATCGCTGAATAATAGGAAAATTCAGCTTTCACATTATCACATGAATATGAATCACCAAGAAAGGAAATATCAAAAGTTCAATGATCGAAGGAGTAGGATATAGCTCAACCTAATAAAGTATCAATGTTGACATAACTTTTTTATAGGTGATGAATTTTTTCTTTTATTATTATTATTTTTAAATCCTTAACCACAGAAACAATAGAATTCTTGTGTATTCAATAAAAAATATATTGTTGATAGAGAAGCACATGAGTTTCATTCATCATATCTTGGATTTTTATCATCATGGTATGTGAAAAGCTTATTTAAGGTTAGATGCAAAGTCTAATTGACTAATCTAATCTAATTTAAATAAAATACTCAAACAACAAAAAAATGATGCAATACAAATGTATTATGTTATTAGTAGCATTTGTAGACTTTGATGTCCCATTAATTCTCCTTGCTTGAAAAAGTTTGGCTTCAACAAATGATTAAAATTATATTCTCTCAAGATTTTTTGGGCAGGATTATTTAATATCTTGTTGTAATGTCCATTTAATCGTCACATATAGGTTTATTTTTCCACCTAACAAGGCACCTTTGATATTCATTTTTCAGCTGTTGATATAATTTCATTATTAGAAATAGCAGCTTGAATATGATTAGGATAATTGTATGGAAAATGTGCAAATATTTTATTGATATGAAACATAGAGGTGGAAAAGTAGAAGTATCCAAGGCGTTGATTGATGATTCATAATAGAAAATTAGATCAGATACATTAACAATTGGACTAATACTACAATTTTTTATGATGTTTAACTTGTATGCATCCTTTCTCCATTGTGTTACTTTGCATGACCATGCTTTTCTAGTTGTACATTTATTAACTTTCTTTAGGAAATCTTTTCAGATTTAGACATCTTGAGCTCATCACCTTCTTTAAATTTATAATTGTCATAGTTGATGACAAGCTTCTAATAAATATTTTTTATATACGTCATGTATATGATTAAGGAGTAATGCAATCCATGGAGGAGTAATAACAAAATTCTTATATGCTTACTAATGGATAAGATTCAGAGAAATAAAATGCTTCGGCAATAATGGAATCGCAAGAGTAGGAATCAATGAATAACAAAACATTTCAGTTTCTATATTTACGTACGAACAAAAATTGACTAGAAATAGCATTTTTACAAGTCCACTTAGAGCTGTGAGAATAGGATAAATTATGGCCCTTAAAACAACAACACTCGAGGATTTTAGTGGAAATTCCTAACCACAGCAACAATAAGAAAATTCTTGCACCAGTAGAAAATTCTTGTCAAAAGAAATCCCTTGAGTTGCTTACATGGCATTTATGATTTCTATCCAACATAGGTATGTATGGGCATTAATAAATGTAAAATCAAACACTAACTGAATTATACAACCCAATTAAAACTGAAAATTCAATTTAAAAATTCAAAATGCAAAAAGGGACGCAATGTAAACATTTTATGCTTTTGGTGATGACCATGGACTGACACATAAGCAGCTTGCAGTTTCTTTTTAGTGGGTATAAAGGTCTGTAGAGAAATTTGTATTTTCTATTCGCAATAGAATTTCAAGTGAATCGTCATTTTGTATGTGCACTATGCCTAAAATATTCTTGTATTGGAGAATTCTTCTTTCTGAGGGTTCAGTGCGGATTCGTTCATCTATTAGATCATTTTTATGGTACGTATACTAAGTAGTTTTATCTTCTTTGCAGAATTCTTCAGTCTCTGGGGTTGTTTTGGAGGACTTCGACACATTTTTCATTAATAAGTTTTACCATAGTCATTTGGATGATCCTTGTAGGTTTGCCTTTTATCGTACATAGAAAGTCTCTTCTAATTGTAAAATTCTAACTAATGCTATGTAGTCACTCTGACACAGCAAATATCAACTCTTCGTCCATAGCTGCTGCTGCTATTATGGTTGCACGTGCTCTATATATTCTTGCAAGTGACAGTCCACATTTGAATCTCATAACACTGAACTCCATTAAAGTCAATGTTTCTTTGGTAGAAGAACTCGTGGAATGCTTATTGACTTGTGAACCCGGTTTTTCTTGTGACATTGTCAAGCAATTTATTTCGCCAAGCAATGTATGCCCCAGTCATTACGTAGGCGTTTTTGTTGATTTGCCTTCAGAAACACAACATCCTCAATATGCAGATGATACTTCTCGGTTTGTCTGGAATTTCCTAGCAGATAGGTCTTCTGGTTCACAGAAAACTGCTATTCCTTGCAAGGTGGACTGCCATAACCCTGCTGACGTCTGTGTAGCTGCAGAAACTGAGAGTAGCAGATGTGTTACATCCACAACCAGGTAACTCATCACCTATTGTGGAATCTTACATTTTTTTTAGAAGAAAAACATGAACACTTTATGTTTTCTTATGTTCTTTCTAATTTCATCCCCTTACATATATATATTTATATATATATATAGAATATCTTGGAAGCATGTATTGTTATGCCACCTGACGACATTTGATGTTAGTTGTGTGAAATAAGATTTGGTGTTTAGTTTCAAATATCATGGGGTTCTCTTGTTTTTTGCTTCAACCAGTAAAAGCGCACAGAAAAGTTCTTTAAGTTTTTTTTTTTTTAAGTTTCTGATAGAAAACAACCGCCAAAATAAAGAAAAACTTGCAGGAAATCAGAGAAAAATAGCAATATTGAGCAGCTTTTGATGAAAAACTGTAGGAAAATCCCAAAAAACATTAATGGATATACACTACTAGTTGAAAAGAAACGATTTGATAAAATGAATCTTCAATTCAAGAGGAAAATTTCACGCTCCAAATCCCTAGCCCAAACTTAGAGCCCCAAAAGCAAACATAAGAGATCTTAAATTTCAGCTCTAATTCAAGATAATCCTAACCCTTGCCAAAAGGAGAATACTTAAAGCACAATATAATTATTTAATGCTTAATCCCTAAACAGTCCTCCACGTTTGAATTTTTCCCCCTAAACCCAAGCTCCCATCAATGCTTGGGCCCACCCATGTGTTGCCTTTTCTTCCCATTTCAGCCCCCCTTAGGGCCTGTCTCCTGTAGCAAACCGGTCCAATTAGGACCGGTTTAGGTTGGGCCCTAACAGTTTCCTATGAACCTATTTACATGTTTTAGTTTGTAATCAAAGTCTAAACTTTGTTGCATTACTTTATCTTCTCTACTTGTTTTCATAAGCTAATTCGACGACTTTGTTGAAATTTCAATAATTTTGATTTCCATCTATTCCAGATATGTCCCATCTTATTCCACCCGTCTGAAATTTGAAGGCAACTCATGGCATATCTTGCCTCCTAATACCTCAGACCCTTTAGGGCTAGTGGACCCAGTATGGACTGAAAGCTACTGGAACACCATTGGATTGAGAGTTTACACAGTTCAGAGTTCAGCTTATGATAACTTGATTCTTCTGATTGGAATCGTGATTACTGTTGCCACTTACATTACAACTTTAGTGGCTAGAACGTTCCTATTAAAAGCTCTGAAGCATGATTGAAGCATTATGAAGATGATTTATATTGACTTGGAGACTGACATATTTTGGGTTCTTATCAGTTCAGATTCACCACTTGTGTTTTACAGAGATCAATAATTTGAAAAATTTGCTGCTGCGTTAACCAACAGGAATCTATGAAAGGTTGGTCTTATTCATTTATCTTTTGGCAGCAGATGAACGCACTCTTTTGATTTTTAGTCTCTTGTTTTACTATGGTGAAAATTATTGCACTCCCTACAACTCTACTGTTCATATAAACACTATCGACTTGTGATATTCAAATTCTCACATTTTTTAGGCTGCATATTGAAGTCAGAGAATTTGAGTGAGGCTTCATTTAAGACAGCTTCTTTACTGCTTCTTAAAGTTAAATTTTTGTACTAAAAAGCTGCTTTAAGAAGCAGTAAGTAAGCCGTCCCAAAACGAAGCCTCAATCTTTTTATATTTGGTTGCTTGCTTGTGCTCATAGCTTGTCATATCAAAGCATGCTAAATTCAGTTTCTATTAACGAAAATAGTATTGAATACAAACCAGTTTATGTAATATACATGAATTGTGAATGTCTGACATAATTAGTTTATTTCAGTATATTGGTGCCCTACCATTTCTCTTTTCCTTTGATTTCTTTTTGTTATTTTCTATGTTACTTTTAAGGTCGCAGCTGCTTTTGATTAGATCCGTTTTGGGCACCTTTTGCCCAGTTTTATTTTTCATAACTTTTGTTTCTTTTGTTTGTGATAACTTTCTTATTACTTTTTCAAGTAGATTTAGTTTAAAAAAAAATTATTAAAAAGCTGTTAATATCACAATTATTTTTGTTCTACAAGGTAACTGCCAACCTAAAATGATAATTTATTGTATGGGGATTTAAGAAACAAGCATTGTAAAACTTAAGCAAATTTTTGTATTGGTTTTCAATTGCTTGAGGCATTAAAACTTTTTTGTTAGGAAAATTGTTTTATATTGATTCTCATTTGTTTGATCAAATATTTTAAAATTTATAATTAATAAGTTAAATATTTCTTATATCTAAATGGGTTGATTTGAGTCATTCGAGTTATTAGTAGGTTGAATTTGGGTTGATGTTTTTGACATGTTTATTAAACGGGTTGAATTTGGGTTAATTGGATTCAGGTTGGACTCAGATGGTGGTTATCCTAAGCACAAAAAGAAATAGGGGAAATGCAAAACAATTATACTCTTCTAAAACCCTTGCATGTGACTCCATATTTTCCAATAAAACTTCACAGCCAAAATAATACAAAAGTATTAAAACTCGTGCAAAACTGGATTAAATATGGTGCTACATGCAATAAATTTGAAAAATTCACCAAAAATGTTTAAAGCTTCAAATATCATTAAAATTGGTGAATAGCCACCTTGCTATGCCTATAATAAAAATTTTAGAATAAGAAACAAAATATTTCTAGAATTCAAAATTTTCAAAAATTCCAAAAATATTGCTAGAATTCCATAAATTTAAATAAATAAATAAAATCTAAAATTTTAATGGAATCTTCTCCTTTTTGAGTCTTACACAATCTAAAACTTCAAAGTAAAATATTTTTATGGATTGATCATAATATTTATATATTTTGATAGTGATAATTTTTTCAAAAATCTCAAAAAAGCATATATTGACCTAAAAAAATAAAAATTTTGACATGTAAATTTCTCTCATAAATATGCACTCCTATAAAAATTTCATCTCAATATCCATCTTTCTAAAATCTGTATATTTTCAAATTCCAATGAAGAGTCACCTATTTTCAGCCAAAATTATTATGAAAATAGCTGAGACCAATCCCTCATTTTATTTTCCTAAGTTGAACAAGAGAGAAAATAACACACACACTTTTAAATTTAAATTATCATCTACTTTTGGAAGAGGTTAAACTAACATCCCCATTTAAATTCTTTATCTTCTTGTGAGATAAGGTCGACCTAATTAATCACCATGACCATGGCCTATAATGTTAAGTTAATATTCAACATTTTAAGAATTTTAAATTCCCAATTTCTTTGGAATGAGATAAAACTAATCAATGGAGATTAGGTTAAACTAATTTCCCATAAATATTAAAAGCATTTTAATATTAGCATTTCAAGACTTCTAACTCCAAATTTCATTGAAATTAAATTATAATCTGCCACCACCCTCCCCCCCCCCCCCCCCCCCAAAAAAAAAAAAAAAGATTGGATTTGATTTAAATCAATTTGAGCTCTAAATAGGCTAAGTGGTCAACCCTGGTTGACTTGGTCAACTGGGTTGACCCAGGGTCCGAGCCCGGGTCTAACAGACTCGACTCGACCCACTGAACCTATTGGGAAGGGCCATAGGGTTTGGCTTGGTCGATTTGACCAAGTCAACTCTTTGACCAAAGGTCTGGGCAAAATCGAGGTCAACATCCTCCCCTGCCTCGACCCAACGACTCTCACTCTTGCGTCAGCTCGCTCGGACGGAGTACAACCGAGAGATTTTTTTTTTTTATAAGTTATAATGTGGTATTATATCATTTGTTCTCTAAAATATATTTGTTCATTTACAAAGATCTTCATACTTCAATGCTTTGTCTTCATTTTGTTGTGAGATCTTTAATTTTATTTTGTTTGATTTTATAAGTTCAATTGTTTGTTTCTTTATATTTATAAGATTGATTATGTAAGTTTTATTTATTGATTTTTTAATAGATATATAATCAGATTAATTTTAAGGCATCTTTGAGTTGGAATATTATGGAGAGATATTTCAAACGATCTTCAATTGCAAAAACATCAAATGACAATAACAATCAGGTTGAAGATCATAAAGAAAAGCGTATTCGAGTGGATGTTGATTTACTCAACAATATAGAAGTAAGTGTTGAAAATCTTCCATCTAATCCAAGGCTACGAATTCCATTGTTGACTTTAATCCTAATATTTGGGATGAAGTTTGGAGAATATATTTATAACGAGGGTCATTTCAACTTTGTAGTCATGATTTTCCAAAAACTAAATTCGTGATGAAAGAAAGACGATTTAATCATACTTGGTTTGACAAGTACTCTGATTGGCTAGAGTATAACATAAGCAAAGACAAATCATAATACTATCTTTATTGTTATCTGTTCATAAAAACATGTAGAGGCAATGAAGATGAAGAAACATTTAATAAAAAAGGATTTTCGAATTGGAAAAAAACAAACAAATTTAATCTTCATATAGAAGGTATAATAGTGCGCATAATAATGCTAGACGTAGTTCTGAAGACCTACTGAAACAAAGTCAACATATTGGATTTGTGTTCCAAAAGCAAACAGATCAGGCTACATCTGCATATCGTATCTGCCTCAATACTTCTGTTGACTGCATAAGATTTGTTTTGAAGCAAGGGCTAGCTTTCCGAGGACATGATGAGTCTTCTACATCCAAAAATTAAGGTAATTTTCTTAAACTGGTGTAATTTTTGGCTGAACATAATAAAAACATAGATGATGTGATTTTAAAGAATGCTACTGGGAATTTAAAGTTAATTGCACATGATATTTAAAAAGATATTACTATAGCATTCGCTATTGCTATTACAAAGTTTATATCTGAGGAGATTGGTGATAAATTTTACTCAGTTTTAGTTTGTGAATCACGTGACACATCCGCTAAGGAGCAAATGACAATAATAGTTCATTTTATTAATAAGAAAGACAAGATAGTGAAATGTTTTTTGGGGATTTCTCATGTATCAGATACTACTACAAATAGTCTTAAATTGGCGGCTGAACAACTCCTATCAACATATGGTTTGAGCATATGTAGAATACGTGATCAAGGCTATGATGGTGCTAGCAATATGAGAGGGAGTTTAATTGTATGAAAGCTCTATTTCTAAATGAAAATAAATCTACACATTACATTCATTGTTTCTCACATCAGCTTCAATTAGCATTGGTGGTAGTGGCAAAAAGTCATGTTCATATTACTTTGTTGTTTACTACCATTTCGAGTGTAATGAATCTTGTTGGTGTTTCTTGTAAGCGTCACGACTAAGTTCGAGAAATACAACGTGAGAAGACATTGAATGAATTACAAAGTGGAAATCTTTTATCTGGGCAAGGCTTAAATCAAGAAATAACCCTTAGGCATGCAGGTGATATGCGGTGGGGTTCACACTATGAATCAATTTTAAGACTAATTACAATGTTCTCTACATTAATTGATGTTCTGAAAATCATTTTGGAAGATGGCTTAAGCTCAAAACAAAAAGGTGAGGCATATGCTTTTTTAGAATCGTTAAAGACCTTTGAGTTTACCTTTTGCCTACATCAGATGAAAAATGTTCTTGGCATCATTAATGAACTATCACAAGCTTTATATAGAGGAGAACAAGATATTATTAATGTTATATCTTTGGTGCATATATATAAAAAAAGATTGCAAGATATGAGAGATAACAAGTGGACTGACTTCATAAGTAATGTAGCCTCATTCTGTGAGCAACAAAAAAATTAATGTTCCACATATGGTTGACAAATGGGTTTCTCATGGTCAGCCATGTCATATAGATCAAAATATAACAAATTTATATCATTTTTGGGTTGAAATTTTTTACATAGTGCTTGATATGCAGCTTCAAGGGTTGAACAATCGGTTTACAGAAGTAAATACCGATCTGCTATTGTGCATGACATGTTTGAATCCTAATAATGGATTTCATGCATTCAACAAAGATTAGTTGATTCGAAAGACAATTTTATCCAACTGATTTTAGTCTTCCTGATCAGGCAGTTTTTGAAAATCAATTGGATACTTATATCATGGATATGCGATCTGATGATCTGTTCACCTCATTAAAAGATATTGGAAGTCTTGCTGAGAAAATGATCCAAAGTAAGAAGGATATAATATATCATGTTGTTTTTAAACTACTGGAATTGATATTTGTAGTACCCGTTGTTATAACAGGCGTTGAAAGAGCATTTTTTGCCATAAATATTATAAAAAAATTGCCGCGAAATAGGATTGGCGATCAATGGATGAATGATTTATTAATTGCTTATATTGAAAAAGAAATTTTGGATTCTATTGATAATGAAGTTATCATTCAACTCTTTTAGAATATAAAGACTAGACGTTATAAATTGTAAGTTTTTACTATCTTATATTTAATATTATATGTTTTTGGATAATTATTAATAAAAAAATTTTAAAACTACCTATGCCGGTCTCAAGTCCGATTGAAAAAAATTGAGGGAAAATTTTACTAAAATAATTTAGGCCCCCCCTTGATAAATTTTTTGACTCCGCCATTGATTATAATACTCCTCCAAAACAAGTTAAAAATAACATCAAATCAAAAGTTTATCAAGCCCCTTTAACTGCTTTAAAATGATATTAAATCATAATTTCATTTGTCAACTAAAGCTTAAATATCCTATCAATATAATTAGATCCTAAACTAAAATTCTTTGCTATAATGCAACCTAAACTAATTAAATTTATATGCAATTAATTAGAAAAAAGCTTAAAAAACCCTTTAATGTTGTCCACCCCATAACCCTCAATTTTATTAATTTAATTTTGATGATAATAAATATATGATTGATATATATTTTAAATAGTTTTAGGATAACTGGA